CAGAATTCCGATGATTTGCTTCGCGTTTTGGTTTGTACAGGAATTCTCCTGTCCCGTGTCTACCGCGCGTCTATTTGCCGATAGGAACGGGTTAGCCAATGATCTGCGTGCTAGTCTTAGTCTTAGGACTCATGTTGTTCCTAAATTCTCCTGGTTAGCTCTTTCATTTTTCTCTCCCTAGTGAACTTCATTTATGCTGTCCGTAGAAGCACTTTTGGAGGGCGCAAAAGCTTGCAAACGTTCCGCAGATACTAATGAGGCCAAATGTGCTGAAGAAAACCGCAAAAAAGAAACGGTCTATCGTGTGGCTATGGGTTTCCACTCCCGATCCGAAAGCTCGCCGTTCGAGTACCGGATGGGACAACAATTAAGCACTGCTGACGAAACCCAAACGGCATGAAACAGCAGGTCTTCGTAAAACAAGTCATAGAGTCAGTGAATCATGTATTGAATATAGAAAAAAAACCATGGAGATAATTAGGGAATGAGTATGAGTCACATAGAACAGTGGCACAATTATTGCACAGATGAGAAAAATATGGTAAGAACTAGTCGATACAAACAGGAGGAAGGAAGCACAAGAGCGAGTTGCTGTAAGGGTTGCTTGGAATGTGGAAGTCAGTTTCAGGGAAGGGGAAAACACTGACAAGCAACCCGGTCAACAGTTTACACCTTCGTTTTCCAAACCGCCTTTTGGCGATCCCGTGGGATCTACAAAAAAGGATGCACAAAGACTGCTTAGGATTGATCTCATTTCGTTAGGGAAAGCATGGATAGATATAGACAATCAAAAAACTAGACCACTCGGTAGATGACTTCCGATAAAAATGTCACCGAGCGAACACGTTTGCTTGGCCTATTGGCCGATCGACTACATCTGACAAATCACTTTGACATCCGCTCGTGTACGTTTCATTTGAAAGATAAAAAACGGAGAACTTAAGTTGTTTGAGGTTCATTGTAATCGCTTCACTGGACAACAGTAGTAAAATGACTGGATGAACAAAGCTGAAGAGCAATATGAAATTGATGTTATGCACTAACGCGACAATCTAACCTTCATATATTGCTATGGTTGGGGCATGAATTGCACATGTCCTGAGATAGACCTTCAGATTCGGGACATGTTTACCGAGATAAGCTGGTGGTAGGCAGCCCCGCGGTCGCCCAGTCCACTTACACAACCAACCGATTGCGACCTTAGATATGAGGTTCATCGCTTCAAGTCTCAGGGTTGGTTTACCGGACATACATGAACAGTACAGCTCGAGTGAATCATCAAATGAGCATTTTCTTTCTCACACATACAGAAATCAGACAACTATCTCACTGCCCTCACTAACATTCGCGTCTTGAATCAAAACGTTGATCCTGTACACCACTGTCATCAATGCCCTTCCCCCTTGGCTTTAATTCCCAACCAAAACGCAAATTTCTCTCTCATCTGACACTACTCATCTTCAATTCCCCAATTACTTTCTCCATTTTTATTTCTACTTCCTAGATCCACGGGTGACCTACTGGCTCTTATGTGGTAATACTTATTAACCGCATTAGATGACCACGACAAAAGTCCCCCTTGGTCTCTCTCGATACCTCAAGGGCCTCCGACCGCGTTTGACTGTCGAAATCATCCACCTTCGCACTCTATCCATCTCTCGTAACGTCGATGGGGTCCTATCTCGGCTGTCATCATACTTGCTCTCACACAAAAATATCCAAAAGTGTATAGTTAAACACAAAAAATGTTGTTACAATCGTTATAAACTGTTTTCCATAGTAACTATTTAACCTTTTTTACACCTCGTTCTGTATGTTGATTCATCCTTTTCTCGTTTCTGTTATTCTTGTCGTTGTGTTGGCGCCATGGTTGTCTGCAAGCCAGTGATATATACGTATATATACCCCTCTTATTTATTACTAATATTTTGTCAAAAACCACTTATCCCATTCGCTGCTTTGGCGATGATGCCACTCTTTCTTACCTTACTACCTTCCAAGTTGCTACCAACATCAGTCACGATCGATACATCATCGGTCCGTCCCTTGCTGCCGATTTCGGACTTAACTCCATATGGGTTTCTACCTGCCGTGTACCTTTTAATACTTCCGAAACTTCTCTCTTTTCAGTCTCTCGTATATGTTTCCTTTATTCTACGCAATTAAGTTTTGACTTAAATAATAAATTCTCTCTCGTTTATTCACCTATAAAGTATTCCACATTCGCCTCTCGCGCCGCACGCACTTGGTTTCTTATTTCGGACCAGGTGCTTCTTTACACCGAAGCACCTCCTCCTCTTAAACAAAGCTCAAATCCGCCGATGCTTGAATAATGCAGTCACGTATAAGGTGAAGCTTCGTATTCCGCTCTTTTTCTACTCGACTGTGTTCAGCGTAAGGCTATCCGGCTGATCAATAAACTATCTTTGACTTTCAATCTGCGGTCGCCTTTCCACTGCCGGGCAGTTGCTCCGTTACCTCTATTCTACCGTTACCATTTGGTTTCTGCTCTTCTGAACTCGCTTCAGCCGTTCCTCTCCCTTTGTCGTTTTCTGGTCCATCTCGTTCTCAGGCAGCAGTCACCCTTTTCATGTTTCTGTACCTAGAGGTCGGACTTCTGTATTCCAGTGCTCTTTTATTCCCGGAATTTCATGATTGAATAACACTCTTCCTATCTCCGTATCTTAACCCCTTATAATCTTACACTTCAAAAGCAGGATTAACAGATATTCATCTACATGCCTTTTTTGTGGTTTAACCCTTTTGCTGTAAATCATTTTGTGTGAGATCAAAAGTACCAATTTACGATGTGATTCGATTCCGCACATTATTTTCAATCGAAAATATATGAAACATAATGAATTCAATAACCTTGAGGCAGCAACATCAACGGATAGGACTATATCTATGTGTATCTGAAAATAGTCTGCCTATCCTTGTCAGAAAAAACAAGTAGAGCACATTGAACTCTAATCCTAACGGGTACTCAATAGTACCCTGTAGAGTATTAACGAACTCACGACTGAAGAGTGTACGATGTGGAATCGTCTCACAAAACTGAAATTGGATATCGCAAAGTTTTAACTGAGAAGTGTTCATTAGAGATCATTGGCCATTCGAACCGATATTTGGGCATGAAAGCCTCAACAAATAGACTGAGTTGAACCTAATCAAGTGGCAGTTAGAAATGTAGAAATCGGTATTCGCGAGGAAATTTCTTTTCGATATATCGCATCAGGCATTTGCATATATAAGTTGATCATAGTACATCTATCTGATTGGCCAATTAAAGCTCAGTTGGTAACGATGAGAGGCGAGCAAACAGAGCAAACGAATATGACAAGGCTAGTAAGTCGTGGAGGTGAGAGGACACAGGTCAAATGGAAAACGATGGAGGGATGGGTAGATTAAAAATGAAGGTTTTGAGCGGAATGAAGTTACGTAAGATACAGTAGAAACGATATATCATGCATAGCAAGTGATAATCTGGAACGGACACTGGAGACAAAACTAAAATAGTTAGTTCTTAAGATGGCGGTTGATGATACTGAATGAGGAAGGGGGTGGGTGGGGAGGAGGGTTGATGCTCGGTTTTATGCACGATCAGTTTGTTGTCCAGGCCAGCTTTTTTTGCTTGCAATGTGATTGAATGTCACGCATTTTGGCGCTTGAACCGATGTGTTTTCACATTGTGGAAAAAAGTTTTTATTTGCCTATCGCAAGAGAACACCTAAAATTAAAACATACATATCCAAGAGTGGCCATGGCTGTCCACCCAGCATTGCACGAATTTGCTGGGGCAACCAGACAAGAAATGCTGAGGTTGGGGCGGTGGTGGCCCGGTGGTAACGTCACCAAATTATCACCCCGGTGATGTGTGTTCGAATCCCACCACCACCGTCTGACTTTCCCCATTTGTGTGTTGTATGGCAGCCCTCTGATTGGCCGCTTCCCCCTTCCTGAAAAATTGTATCTTTGTACATTCAATAAAAGGAAGTAAAATGAAAAGAATTTTAGGTAACCGCGGTCGCCCACTGAAGCAGGTGGTCGAACAACATAGATTACGTTGGTTGGGACATGTGTGTTGCGCAAGTCACCCAATAGATTGCTACGGCGCGCGATGGTTGCCAAAGCAGGTAGTGGAAAAGAGTAAAGAGCGGTCAAACTCAGACCTGGCGGGAGGCTATGAAAATCCCGATCAGAAGACTCGATCATATAGGTCGCGTTAGGCTCCCTGGATGAGGACCTCGAGATCATTGTGTACCACGGTTAGAAACACTGAGTGATATGGCTGAGTGTCGTAAACGGTGGCGCTCGTTCATCTACTCATTATCTTTACAACTTCAGTGTACCGGTATTCTCTATTTTCTCCTCGACTCTACTTTTAATTTTCCCATTTTTCTTCTACCACCTTATCCAATCAGGTAGCAAAAGGACAGCAACCAAAACCGTACCACGAAAGTGAATGGTTAATAGTTGCATGAACTGAAAACGGAATGAGAGTTAGCGGTATAAAATAGGGTGGGTTTGTGTGCATGTGTGACAGAGCGACAACGTTTGGTCACAATGGGTCGATTAACTAGGTTTCAATTTCACAAACACCTTTTGTTTTCCTACTGAAACAGACGAGCCGTTCCCGTCTGCGCAATTACCAGCGACCTCGCAATTGGAGAAAAACCTTATGTACGAAAGGCTCAGTATATGGACAGATTGGGCGAATAGTTTGCTTACCTTCCCTACCCGTGGGTAAAATCGGTTTCATCTCAGTTGACCCGAACGGTTCACTGGGACGCAGATGCCGAGTGGCCTGACTTAAACCTTTTGCTGCAGCCGTGACCGCAACAACCGGATCCAAATTGATCAAAGCTGTTTGCGAGCCATCGCTCTGACAACTAGCACGCCGACTTGTCGAGGGACCGGGAAGATTGGGCGTCTTATTTGGATCTAGTTCATCCAGCTGTTTCGTGTACGCCCCGCGACTCGCCTTTAACTCATGCATCGCAATTAGTTCCGGTGTGTCCTCATTAGACATCAACAATTCGTGCCCACGATGACGTTTTAGCGTCAAACTGGCCGCACTAGGTTTGGAGCCTGCTTTGCTTCGTTCCAAACGGGTAGAGTCTGGCCGACTTCCTGAGATCTTTGGTGTAGCGAATGCTACTTCGTCCCTGGAGTGGTGGATAATGACAGTATCGAGCTTGGAGAAACTTCGACTAGATGATGGCAATTTAGCGGAATGAGCACGAGAAAACGGTCCGCTGGGGGTGATTGAACCGGCTGACTCCCGAGTAGTTGCGGCCCGTTGAACCCTAAGTTAGCGATAACAAATGAGGGGAAGTTACGGGATTACATTACATTAAACGAATAAACAGTTTGTACAATGATACACTGTCTATTCGAAAACAGCCAAACCGAAAATAAACGGTCTCAGCAAAAAGAACGTTTCTAAAGGATAGACGAAAAAACAGACTGCACCATAACTTAGTGCGATGACTTATAAGCATTTTTGGCCTAACGCTATACGCAGGATGGTTGTTGGAGAGACAAAAGATCTTATGCCTGAACGATAAAAGACCAAACAAAGTTACCTCCTGGTTTTTCAAGCTGAGGTTCTACTCGGTGATCTCTCAGTCGGTAAAATGATGAAACAATAACTGATTCCAACGCAAGGGCCTCCATTTCGCTCTACCCACAGCCTCGTGGCCAGGTTCTTCTCAGAACTAAAGCCTTGGGCTGAGAACTCTAATCGTTCTCCTGCTTAGCGGTTGTACTTTCCAGCGGTACCCATCCGTCAAACTCAATTACTATACAGAATAGGCAGAAGTCCAGCATTGCGATCATCACACGGACTAAGCAAGATCACGCTACTCATTACATCTAGCGGATTGAGTAGTAATAAGTGGCCTACTATTCAGACATTTTCATCTTTGGTTGATCCTTCGTCTTTTATCTTCAAAACTATCCCTTTACTCCTTCTTCTGAACCGTAACAATCAATCAAATAATTCTTTTGTCACCCACCGATGATTGTTGCCAAATGGCTTTGTAACTAGCGTACCGCTGAATGAAATGCAGATTCTGAGGTCTCATCAACTTTCGAAACTAAAAGCTTTGAAGGGGGAGATTTTCACACCAAGGGGAAAACAAGCTTTTCTTGTGCGTACTACACTTTTTCTAGAGATCGATCTTTGCTGTGTGTCGGAGACACCAATTCAGGACCACAATGGCATATACTACTAATCTGCACCGGATTTGTCCTTGAGGCATTTCCTTCACAAAAGAGGAGACGATGAAGCTAACTAGATCAAAGTGGAGTGGGTATAGTAATAAACGATAATACTGAAGCCTCAATGATAGATTGAATTCTTGTCAGTAGCCGTGTACATGCAATGAGGCTCCGTGGCTCAAATGGACTCCACACGGGAAGCAACCAAGTGCAGTTACGATTCACAAAATTCCAAGACAAACCTACCAAAACCCATCCACTGAATAGTACGGCTGATGTATAAATGATTTAATGATTTACCGCTCATCTGGGAAAATTGAATGAATTTGAAGCCTATCCATGGGTCTATTTCGCTCTGCCTGCCCAGCAAACAGAAAACGGCGACCGAATTCTTTAATCGTGCACAGATCACCCTCAGTTCCCGTTAAGCATCAACTCCGATACAGCCCTCGACGGAAGTGGCACTTCAGTTTATCGGGTAAGTTAGTTCACATTACCCACATATCATTGAAATACTACTGATGTGGCTCAATAAAAAGTTGCATTTCGTATTGGACTACCTGCATTGAGTCACACTACGCATTGATTCTGACGCCTTTTACCCTTCTGTCATCATCTGTCACCAACCGAATCGCAGTCTGGGTTAGACCATCACCGTCTGAGTGACCCAGTTGTTTGTGCCCTTAAGAAGAGAAGCCTATTTGTGAGCTAGGAGTACTGCATCGTGGCGGAGTAAATCAACAATGGAATCAGGTGAGATTTGCGATGCATTCCGCAGCGAAATTTGCTTGCGGACTCGACCCCGAATTCCGGTCAAGATACTGAATCTCTCAAGAGTCTTGACAAAACAAAAACGAGAGATAAAATCGGCCAGGATCTTCAGGAGTGAGGGACTCCAGCGAGATTAATTCCGGAAAAGCCTTAAGAAAGATTGCGAAAACTGTTTTGCTAAAATAGATAGTGAAATAGAAGTATGCGATGCATCAGGGAAAAATAAAAGACTTGTAACTGGTACGCAATACTGCAAGTTGACGGAGTCAGGTTAAGGAAACAATATGAGGCGAAACTGGACGATAATTAAAAAAAGCTTGATCGATGGATGGAGTGCTTTGGAAAAAAACTGATGCTAGCTAGATTACCTCTTTTGTTGAAGCGGAAGTATGGTGGACAATATCATATGGGCCCACAACATAAGTAAAGAGACGACCTTGCAATTCTGAAGATAGAAAAATCAGCTAGGTTCGACGGATTGCGTGTATTGTGCAACGGTGTAATCACATCTACCCTACACGTAGACCTCAACTGAATAAATAAAGCACATCGTATTTGTATGAGTAATCTCCGCTGGTTAGGGCGCTTACTGCGCATGTCTAGGTGTCATTTGCCACACCGCGCCTTGTTTGCAGTTGATGCTCTGGAATGGAGCAAATCGCGTGGAGGCCGACGGACGACATGGAAACGAGGCATGAAGAACAGCTTTTATGAAAACCAGTCATCATCCGGATTCCAGACTGGGGTCCAGAAGGCTGCATAACTAGTTCGATGAAGAGAAAGATGGAAATGGCAGCGAAACGATACCAGTGGCATTTTTATTTTAACTTCTTATCAGGTTAGAATGCTGAACAAGTGTAAACAGGCCGCTTTTACTATGTTGACCATACATGCTTACTTTCCTTATCTTTTCTTTAAGTACTAGCCCACTACCTATTTTACACATTGGTACCCATTTCGTGCACACTGTCAGTGTCAACACAGTTAGACTGTGTATTTTGTGCTTTGATCATAGAGTTCCACTTATTTCCCTTCCCATTCATATTAAGCATTCCAACTGCCCTTTCGCATTTCGTGAGTTGACAGTGATCAGTGAAATTTGATTCAATATTTTTCGTTCGACAATCATAATAATAATGATAATATAATAATCATAGAAATAACAAGGAACTTCGTTATAGAGATGATCACGGTTAATTCACCCCAACTGCAAATCATGGATATATTTTTTTGATCTAAAGACATCTGCACCGTGAATTGTTTGACATAGGCTGGAATCAGAGGCGTGTGAAACACATAAATACACCACCAACGCGGTCAAGGAAACCCGAAAAGAAAGCCCTGGAATTTGGAGGGGCATGGTATAAAAAAGCCCAGTGTACTTCTTTATTACACATTTTCGTGTGATGAACAGCAGACGGAGTAAACTCCATAGTCACGAGGACCTGCTGTTCAGTGATGGAAACCAATAGCCTAAGCCCCGGGACTTGGAGTGGTGAACCACATAAGGCCCCGATAGGTTA